TTGTGTCAATCTTGGGTGAACATTAGTCATGACCCTATCACGGGTAATGAAATGAAGTTTCATCACATGTGGAGCAAAATCCATGGAGAATTTTGTCAAAGATCGGGTTCGATTCGGACCGAAATGGCGTTGTCTAGTAGATGGAAACTTCTTAATAAAGAGTTAGGGAAATGGAGGAATTTTTTTAAAATATCTGAAAATGTTATCTGACAGTTGACACGTGGCACAATTATAGAGAGTGAAAATCTTATTTAAAATCTGAGATTAAATTTTTTTTAAAATATCTGAAAATGTTATCTAACATTTGACACGTGGCACAATTTTAAAAGGAATTTTCTTTGAATAATTTTTATTAAAATCTAAAATACTGAAAATTAACTACGAAACTTTAAATGCCGTTTTGGAAGGCCAAACGACCTCAAAATGCCAAAATCCATCATACCTCACGGCAATGCCGTGAGTTTGACTCGTGGCGTCGTTCCCTTTCCGAAATGGTATTTTGCGTCCTAATCGGAGCTCGGACGACAAATCTGCAAATTCCCACTACGTCCTTTTTCTAGCTCAAGCGATAAAATCTGACATTTGTTCTACATCAGACGTGGCACAATTTTAGAGGGTGAAAATCTTATCCGAAAATTTAATTACAAAAGATTATCAAAATTAATGGTTTAAACTATAAAAAATAGAAAATAAAGTACAATGAATAGTAATTGCCTTATAATTGCCCTAAACTTTGCCCTTGTGGGTGGAACCACAAATGCAAAGGCTGACACTATTCACGTGAATAGTGGCAGCCCTTGCTTGCCCTTGCCTTAGACTTAGCCCTTGTGGGTGGAGATGCTAGAGAATGGCGAATTTTAAACAATTCTTTAGGGTTATACAAGCGATAATCTAAATTATTCTTTTATAGAAGCGATAATCTAATATATTCTAATCTACGATGAAGGGGTATTGAACTCAATTATATAAGAATAGACATACTATCCCAATTCATGACCAATTAGCTTAATTAATGCTTGTACTAAAAAAAGTTTTAGTATTAAAAATAACTTCAAATTGTTGTATAATTGTCATTAAATTGAACATGGTGGTGATATAATTGTCATTAACTTGAAATTACCTAAGGAAATTAATTATAGAGAATACAAAAGGTAAAAAAGAAAGAAAAAAAAAAAAAAGAGCAACATGAGGTTTTTATGAGTTGCCAGTTAGGCTTCAACCTGCGCCAAAATCATCGACGACAGTGAAGCATGGCCTCAAGAGAACACTCTCAGCACCAAAACCAGACGACAAGGAAAGTTCCACTCTGTCCTCTTCTCTCTCTCGTTTGCTTCATTTCGATCTTCGCCGTCCTCTCCTCCATTAGAAAGACCTCCGTTCCTTCGCGACCTCACAGCACGAGCTTCGAGTTCCGAAGGAGCCCGGGATCCGCCCGGAGGAACCCGGGAGAGTCGTGCGACTTCTCGGATGGAAGGTGGATCTACGACCCGAATCCGCCTGCGAGGTACAACAATACCTGCAAGGAGATCTTCAAGGGCTGGAATTGTATTTCCGGCAACAAATTCAACGGCCGGGAACTCGTCAAGTGGAGATGGCAGCCCAAGCATTGTGATCTCCCGCCATTCGATCCGGTTAGGTTTCTTCAGATGTACAGAGACACCAGCATTGGTACTCTCTCTCTCTCTCTTCCTCTGTTTATGTGCGTGTTGGTTGTTGAAGTTATTTAGTCCATGATGTGAAGTTATTGTCTGTTTGGATGCTGAGATAGCGTGTGAAAACTTACATTTGAAGCTATGGGAAGTCATAAACATATAGAAATCCGGAATTTTTAACTTTTAATTGACTTGATTGAGTGCAGTGCAGTGCAGAACATTGTTTCCTTGGTTACCCCTTTTTCTAATTGACTTAAGTAAAGGTTTTAGTTTTATTAGACACTTAAATTTGGTACTTAGTTTGATTATACCAAATGTGATATGATGAGATGATTTGGAGGACTTTGTGGATCAGTTATAATACTGAATCCTGTGTTGTATATAAGACCTTATGAATGTTCTACAGTGCAGGGTTTGTTGGTGATTCGTTGAACCGGAATATGTTTGTTTCGCTTTTCTGTTCTCTGAAACGAGTGTCAAGTGAGGTTAAGAAGTGGCGACCAGCTGGTGCTGATCGCGGGTTTACATTTCTTCAGTATAATCTTACCCTTGCATATCACCGAACAAACCTTTTGGCCAGTTATGGTAGGTAAGCTACGTTTGCAACTATGTTGATGGCTATTTGCTACTTTATTAGATGAATAGATGGGGAACTGAGTTACATCTTGCACATGTTAAGGTCCGGTGTTCATCTATTTATTTGGACACTTAGGGTTGTTATGTTTTGTTCGATGCAGGTGGTCTGCCAATGCTAATGGTGGGGTGCTGGAATCTCTTGGATATAAAGAGGGTTATAGAGTTGATGTTGACATTCCAGACAGTACATGGGCAGAAGCTCTAAGCTTTCATGACATTCTGATCTTTAACACAGGGCACTGGTACTTACTATGTTGCTTATTCATGAGTTTTTTGAATGTGGCCGGTACCTTTAATTTTTTTTTTCTTTTCATGATGTGATTACAATAAGTCTGTGTATCATAGATTCATAGTTAGGGATCACAAGACTAATATCCTAGTATCGACAATCATGATCCAATTTACTTACACCAATGGAGAGGAAGAAAACTTTAATGTAGGATAACCTTATTAGTAAAATAGAAAAGAACAAGAAATTTGAAAACTTCCTTGGAGTTCGTTAATTTGCTCACAAAAAAATTCAGGAACTAGAGGTTCTATGATCTAATTAATTGTCCAAGTAAATACCAAATACTATTGGAATAGAAACCAGCTAGTTGCTGTCTTCAACAAGTTATGAGCAGCCATTTAAATAGGCTAAAAATCCATAGGTACAAGGTAAGAACACGTTTCGAAAATAAATACCAGACAAGTTAGGAAATTTCATGCCTCTCAATTTTGCTGACTATGCATTTGTTTTCATTTTTTGGGTTCTTATAAACAGGTGGTGGGCTCCTTCAAAGTTTGACCCTACAAAATCACCCATGCTTTTCTTTGAAAAGGGTCAGCCTGTGGTTCCTCCTGTACTCCCTGATGTTGGCCTTGATATGGCTCTGAAACACATGGTTGGTTTAATCTTAAGATGAAATATTTAGATTATTTTTAAAATTTTAAAATTTTATGTTTCATGAGAAATTAAGAGGAAGTATTCTCGTGGTCATGTTTTTAATTGATTCGTCCATTGTAGGTAATGTTTGTGGAGAACAGAACACAGCCAGGTGCAATAAAATTCTTTCGCACTCAATCACCTAGGCATTTTGAAGGGGGTGATTGGGACCAAGGTGGTTCTTGTAACCGGGAAAAGCCTTTATTGCCAGTGCGGGTGAGTTGTAGGACACTGTCATGAGCTCATTGAATCTTATGTTTTGTGTATTTGTTTTTTGACACAATGAATGTTCAGTTTAGATAATTGAGCTAAACTTACATTTCATAAAGCAACGATTGATTTCTGAGCACACACCCCTTTACTTTCTTCTGTTTGTTTCAATTTTTTGTATGTAACATCAATATATATACATGTTTAAAGTCATGGTTTGCTTTTCAGGTTGAAAAACTATTCTCTGTGAAGAATAATGGGACAAATGTGGAGGCACGCCTGGTCAATCAACACCTTTATAAGGTCCTCAAGGGGTCGGGTTTCCATATTTTGGACATAACCCACATGAGTGAGTTCAGAGCAGATGCCCATCCATCCGCAGCCGGTGGAAAGAAGCATGACGATTGCATGCACTGGTGCCTACCAGGAATAACAGATACTTGGAATGACTTGTTCATAGAGCAGCTAAATACTATTAAATTTAGAAGTTAATCAATTATTTTCATGTTGAGATTTTTCATTTGAAATGTCAACTTTCACAGCACATACCATCTTATTCTTAATGCTACCCGGTTCAAATCCACATAAATGTTGCATGCAGAGGAGGCAACTGTGGTTAGCTCGTCAGGCCCTGCGGCCACGGGCT